GCTGGCTTTTGTCGCGTCATACAAAACGACCGTCTTGTGCTATACTCATCTGTGGTGGATTCAAATGAAAAGATAAAAAGCTAACGCCCCTTCACCCCACAACAAATTATTTTTTTTTTCTATCCGAACATTGCTGTGGCGGGCCGTATGGGCGCGTCAGTTGACGAGAACCTGAATATGTATGTATGCGGTCTGTGTGAGAGAGATCTAAGAAACAGGAAATTTTGGTTTTTTTACGCTAGTGCAAGCTGCACCTGAATCTAATTCAAGTGTTTTTATGTTAGGTTTTGTTCTGTCGTCATTCGTCACAGAATATCACAGCAGGAGGCGAGCAATGAGCCTATTCACGTTCATATATATCCAAACAGCTAGAGGGCCAGGCTTCAGCAGTTTCTAGCATGGTCGCTATCGTGTAAATTACTGCCATATATAGATATATGTTCCATATATATACACAAAAATACACACACATAAATATATGTGTGTAAATTTTTCTATAAGCACCCATATATATGTACGTAAATATTTATAGTTTATGCATGCCTATGCATATATATATATGCCTGCAAATATTAGGGTTTCTCGAGTCAACGTGGGCCACTGAGAAGACGACCGTGAACTTAGTCGAAAACATATATTTTGAGGTTTCTTATACCAGAAACTCACTGCGGGGAACCAAAACATTTTTCGTATGCAGCGCAAGCATCAAGAGTTGATAGAGAACGGAATGCAATACCACTGCCAACCGACTCGAAGTGACCAGCCAGCCATGAAAAGTAGTATAGTTTAACCTAATGATCTACAGGAAGAATACTTTCACTTGAAAATAATTAAAACAATTTTGTTTAATCTACAAAAGGAAATGCGGAACCCAAAGAAGAGCTGATAGAACCTTGCGTGCGTCCTCCCCTCATTGAGGCACCACAGAGCAGCGGCCGTGGCCGTTGCTCGCACATCGACCAACATGAATGGTGGGCATATCTGCGACAGTTCCGATAAATATTTGAATTTTAAGGTTTTTTAATACAATTTAATTCGTTCTGTTCAAAAGAACAGGCTGAAAAAGGGCCGTCTTCTCATCTATGGCTCGCGTGTTCCGCCGGTGGTGCAGTGCTGCCCTCGAGCTACAGCCGCGACCATCGGCGACTCGCCCCGTGTGTCTGCCGAATTTGCGTTAAAGTTTATATTTACCTTATCAACCTGTTGTTAAATTTGAGTGTGCGTTTCCTGGATGCCCCATGGAAGCCCGACGTTTGAGCTGCCGCCTCTCGCCGACTTGTATTTCTGCATTGTTTCAGCGACAGAGCGGCTAGAGAGACCAACCACAACGCTCAAGGCTCAGAACAAGATCTCAATATCTGCCTTCTTATCTGCAGCATTGTGTAGAGATGAGCGCGGCACTGAGCCGCAAAAACTCGAGGAAGCCCCCTGAGGCCGGGGAGCTAAGAAGAAAGACCACTACTACCCACGATGAGGAAGAAAGCGTGCGAGACAGTCAAGCTAGTTCGTTGAGAGAAACCCCCCGAGAGAATAAACCAAAGTCAAATGGTCTGCATGCGCCTGGGGATAAACTCTCCGGAAGATATCAGCGCGGCAGCAGCAGCGTTCGTGAAACACCGAGAAAGAAATCACTCTTAGGAAATGAATTGAAGACCCCTGATGATGCAGCTGATGCAGAAGTTAACGAAGAAGAACGACGCGTTCGCTTTTCTTTGAGTCGCCTGGCTTTATTGGAGCAAAAAGTAGGAAAGGATGAAGGAGGTTTAGGAAGAGGCCGCCTCGTACCGTCAACCCGAGGCAGCTCACCCCCCGCATTCGTCCTTAACTTATCGGCTAACTGGCCGGGATGCCGGGCTCTCTGCAGCTTCACAGTTGCAGACTTGGGCACAAAAGTTGCTCTCTGGAGTGTGAAATCCCCCACAGATCCCGCTGAATTTGTTGTTTATGACCCAAAGAAAAGAAAGTACAACACAACACACTCACTGCTCAAATACACTCTCCGATTCACACATAGCGGCAGTTTTATATGTGCATATAGTCTATGTATTCTCTATACAACATATATATATATATATATATGTATATATATATATAGTATACTATGCATAACATAACTACTTTTTGGTGCGTTGCCTGCCAGCAGAACATGGAGGGGTCCAGAGGGTGTTTATGTAGCGTAGGCGGCTGTGGTTTTTTTCTATTATCCTGTGTTTTTCCTTTTTGTGTATTTGACTTTGTTGCTGCAGACTTGAACAGGAGAAAACGAGTGGAGATGTGCCGGAAGCAGCTCTGGGTGTTTCACTAACACCATGCTGTATAAAAGGAATAAAGGGGGCCTTGTTGTTTGGGGGCCGTTCTCCGTCTGGGGATATTCTGAATGATTGTTTATTTTATAATGCAGCCAACTGTAAGTGGTCAAAGCTGAAATGCCAGGGAGATAAACCCGCGAAACGGTGCTTTCATGCTGCTGCTTTCTCCGCCAAAACACAAACACTTTATGTTTTTGGTGGACAAACAGAAGACGCAACCACGCTGGGAGAAACCTGTAAATTAGTCAATGCAAGTGAGGCGCCACATAAATACATATATATATATATATATATATATATATATATATATATATATATATATATATATATAT